GCGGCCAAGAGTGCCAACGTTGAAACGTCTCGAATAAACGCCAATTACTCTGTCGCAGCATCTGCTCTCAAAATACAGTAATTGCATGACCCGTGTTGTCATACCATCTATTCCGTATGCTCGAAGGCATGGAACCTATTCTGTTGAGGTAAATCGTGCTGATACATACTCAAAGGTTACGACTATGTATTCGTTTCCACTTATGGCTTGACTCATTGATTCGGTTTGACAGGAGTAGGGTGTTAATGTTAATGAATATCTGTTTAATTTTTATGAGTATTTGGAAGCAGATATTTGCCAGTCTTGGAAAGTGCAGGGTAGCGTCAAGTTAACTTTTGATTTCTGATTACTTATGTACCTTGTGTTGTTCTTTTGCAAGACGCGTCGAAGATACACATCGGTAAAAGATAGAGTGCGATTTTACCATTTTCCAAATCAGACGTCATCTTCAGCATTAACCTAATTATATCGCTAAGACAGTTGTACTTTCTGATCATCATTGTGAGCTTCTTTCATAAACAGGACACATGTGGTGTGTGATATCTGTTTTATTGACAACTTTGTAATACTGCTGCTATAAGGCTCAGGTTAATCCTCCTCTGTGGTGTTGTTCAAGGTCGCATGCTGACATTTCGTCCATCATTTGCTTTGATTTTGCTCTCATGCAAGAAGCTCGCTAGGACAGGAAATTGCTGGTACAGAACGAGGACTTTGTGATGCAGGTAAATGATTCATGCCTAAGTATGTACGCAAGTTTTTCTGGCATTTCCGCATTTTCCTTGTGCCGCAGCTTCATGCTAAGCTCTTTGTTATGCCAAGACCAGAAATTGCGAGAGGCAGCAGCTGAGTGGTGCTGTGAGGGATATCTGGCTTAAGGTATTTTAGTCATGCTGTTCCATGTTCGAATGTGTGAAACAACTCATTCTGAAGTACCGTTCCATGTACTACTTAAACGGCTGCTTCCTCACTTTACTTCCCTGATAACTAGTCGATTCATTCAGCTTCAACCCAAAGTAATGATCGGAATGACGAATAAATACGGCTATTGTGTAAAATTGGAAAAGCATCGCTGAAGAGGAAAATCGTTATGTATTCGAGATATGACTACACACGCTACATGAGAACAGAATTTGACCAACTATGTGGTTTGAGCCTGAATATCTGGCAGAGATATTTGATGCTACTACTGCAGATTCGTCCAAGTCAAACCTTAGATGCATAATATTAACCAAGAATCTGTTCTCTGGTACAGATTCAGCAGTTGTATTTAATCAACACGAACAGCGACGTGTATTGTGCCACACAAAACAACGATGGGAGCTGCCCATCCAACCGTCTGTCCAACTGCTTTCGTTGGGTGCTGTTCATGAGCATTGGGATGTTCAGGTATGTGACCAGAAAGTAACTTACTCGAAACAAGTACACGTCGTTGGTTTTCCTTCGCATCAGATTAGGTTTTCCATCGCAGGTCGCGCAATCACTTGAATTATCTCGCTTTAGTACGGTGAAGGTGTATCCTTTGGTGTGGAAGCAATGGCATAGCCTGATCTAGACGAAGCCCGATAATTCGTTAATTTATAAATGGCATATAAGTGATCCCTGTATATGCATATTTAACTCTACTTGAATGGTGCCAGTTTCAGTGAATATACAGTTTTCTTTATGATTATCATTATACTGTGCGAATGAAATTACCGATTGGCACTATTTTCCAGTCTAAACGAGAGTCGTACTGCAAAGGAAATTGAATCATTTTGCGATACATGCCATCACAGGGTAAGGTAAGGAATATATAATCACAATTTTGACCAGTTTGCAATCAATCAATCAATCAATCAATCAATTTCCGATCATAAACGAAAGGTTAGAAGAACTGTTTGTTAGATTGAGCAAGTATGCCCCCGTCTCCTTTGCCAATTCGTTATAACTGTTGTCATTGCGTCGTCGAGACACGGTGATAGCTTGGTTGCTCAGACTTACGGTTGTCAGTTTTAACAGTCAGTCGAGAAGTTGCCACCTTTGCCCGAAACGAAGTGTCGGTATGTAGGTTCCTCCTCTGAGGGCCAAAGTAACGCGAAGTGGCATTCGATTGTTTCAATCGGAAGTTTAAAACAGAATTGTCATGGTTGCTTTTGTACACTTTGGCGAGCTACATCTGGATAGACTGCTTTTTTACACCTTTGGCCTTTGCGATTCACAGTCGCAAACATTCTCCCTGCTTGACGGGCTTTAACGTCTGCAATTGCAACGTTATTATAGCCGGATTTATTTAAAATTCCGTTATGGTAGAGATTTTACGACAGTTATTGTAGATAGCTTCATCACTGACCCAAAAGTTGGCGATTCTTTGTGATGTTGTTAAATTACGTCACTGTTGCCGTTTGCGTTCATTATTCTAGCCTACTTTTCTTCGACACGTCCGACAGGTAGTTGACCATTGTCCATTACGGGATATGTAGGTAACTGATTTGCGTTGGCGGACCTTTGGTTTACTTACTTACTGACAGATGCTTCGTACACACACGGGACGACACGCGTAGAAAAAACTATAAAGATAAATTAGTAAACAGCGTGCAATAAACTTAACGTACAGCAGATAGGCGACAGACGAGGATAAATCGAATGGAACGGAGGATCAGCCGCACTTTTTCAGCAGCTTTTCTTCTTCTTTGTCCGCTGTTCAGATGTGTGACAATGAAAGACATAATGGATCGTCCAAAAACCTTTATTCAGCAGAAGATTGACTTAAATAGTTATCCACTTTCGTTGGCACGGATATGCCTCTTTTCAGGTAAATCCAGAATGGATATCTGTAATCGCGTAAGAGGATTCTTGCCCGTTTGAGGGCCAGAGCCAGGTCAGTGGTTTCATGTTCGTTCTCGCGCAAATCTCATTGAGAATCCAGCCAATCTGACAAGCCATATGTTTCACTTCTTTCACAGATTTTCGGATTTGAGGTCAACGGGTAACCGTTCCGAAAAATATTGACACTGCTTATGGTGTAGGGAGCATTACGAATGCCGTTGCACAGTGCTGCGGTGTTGTCGCATCTACACCCAATCTTTTTAGCCGGATGCACTACCGGGTCTTTATGTTGTCAGCGATCTGCTTGTCCAGCCCAGCTGAGGGAAGACTCATTGTGACTCCGGAATAAGTCATCACTGTTACTACGGTATTGGAAGTGGGTCTTTCGAATTCCGTTGCGGTTCCATGTAAGGGTGTGAAAAATTGGACGAAGTTTGTGAACCCATCGTTGATACAATCTTCAGTCTTGGTTCTGCTCTACTGGCGCTGAAGTGCTAAAGCCTCCTTCTCTACACTGATTTCTGTGGCATCTATTAAACAGCTGGCACCGCGAAACTGACACCCTGAAATGTTTAATCGATGCAAAGAAGTGTGCACATGGAATTCGGAAAGCTTTCGCTCTGCTGCTTGTTATTCTAGCGTTCTTGCAGCTGTACATGCGATCGGTCTTAGAGAACATCAAGAAGACAAGATACCATTTTTGGGAAAAACTGTAAAATTCACTTCAAAATGGGCGGTTTCACTTCCTTATATTGTGTCGGAACAATAAAATTAAGCTTTACTGCTGTTAAGCGTTTGTAAAGTTATTCCAAAACTCGATGAGTCCATTAGCGATGAAAATATTTGATCTCATAATGATTTCCTCATAATCAGTTAAGCGACCCTGAACGGGTCATGCTTCTCAGTTCGATGTCCTGGTCGTCGGTAGTCTTTTTGCATGCAATGAAAAATGAGGCAGTGGTGTGTGGGCACGGTGGCCGGTTGGCTGTAAAAGTCGGAGGTAGGGGTTCAGATACATAGAAGGAACCATCTTTGTGTTGACCATGAATATCCTTGAACATGGAGTTATCCGACGCTGGTTTGATGCGACTGGTCGAGAACCGAGTGGCGAGTTGTTGACATGCGAATAATGGGAACAGTGAGCATGATATTCTAGTGCGGTAATGCCAGAACTGAGGAAATGTACGGCTATGCCATCAGACGCGAGCGCTCCCTGTGAATTCACTTCGCCTTGACCTAGCTGATAGCTGATTGATTATCCAGTATAATAATCATTGCACGTTTCAGCCCAAAACATATGACCATAGAGAGCTGG